CGAGGTCAGGAGTTCAAGACCAGCCTGGCCAATATGGTGAAACCCTGTCTCTACTAAAAATACAAAAATTAGCCAGGCGTGGTGGTACATGCCTGTAATCCCAGCTATTCTGGAGGCTAAGGCAGGAGAATTGCTTGAACCCAGGAGGCGGAGGTTGCAGTGAGCCGATATTACGCCACTGTACTCCAGCCTGGGCAACAGAGCGACACTCTGTCTCAAAAAAAAAAAAAGGCTAGGACTCCTCAACAAACCACCATGGCACACATTTACCTATGTAACAAACTTGCACGTCCTGCACATGTACCCTGAAACTTAATAAAATAATTTTTTTTAAAAAAGGCTAGGACTCCTGTCCTTCAGGGATTTATAACTTGGGAATTTCTAAAGATGATGCAGAAAAAGATTAGAGCAAACGATAATGCCTACTACATCATTTGGAATAAGCAATAAAAGACATAAGGGAGAGATCAGCATGCCTTAGAAAAGATGAGAATGGAAAGTTTCATATAATTATATGGTATTCTTTGACATTTTTAAAAATGTATAATTTAGATTGAATCTTAGGCCAGGTTTGGTGGCTCACACCTGTAATCCAAGCACTTTGGGAGGCTGAGATGGGAGGATCGCTTGAGCCCAGAAGGTCGAGGCTGTAGTGAGCTGTAATTGCACCACTGCACCGTATCTCAGAAAGAAAAAAAAGAAGTAGAAAGTATGAGATGATCTTGTTCTACATTTAAGCTTCCATTCCCCAAACCAAAAAATATTATATCAATAAATATAAAGTAACCAAAATATTGTGGATATTTTTCCCCTTGAGGTTCCTTGTTTAGTGCATGCACTGAATAGTTGCATATCTCAATAATTGTCAAAACTAAGTCTTATGGTTAGTAAAATCTCATTTTTGATCACTACTTATGGTTATCATCATCTTCTATTCTTTAAATAGGGAATAGTGCCTACCGATCAGCTGCATCTAAAACAATGAATATTTATTTCCCTAAAAAAGAGGCTGTCACATTTGACCAAGCAAACCCTACACAAATATTAGGTAAGTCTCTTTAATTAATTTTTTCACATATTCACAGACTGTTTGAGATGTCATCAAGGTTGTTTCTCTTCCCAACATGTGTCAGGAATTGGGTACTTAATATGAATGGAGATTTCTATTGCGGTATTAAACAACTATGTTCACCACAAATATACAGTTTGCTAAAGGATCCATAATACTTTCTAAGAAGCCTTACACAAATGTAAAGTAAGTAATTTATGATGACTTTAATAAAAAAAAATTAAAGGTAGAAAATGTAAATTCTACCCACCCAGGTTCTTAATGTTTTTTTAAAAAAATTAATGAACATCAATGAGTCAAGCATTTGAAAAATAAAGATCTTATCTTTAAAAAATTAGTGGACCTCAGAAATAATACAAGTTCATTTTCTTTTTTTTTTTTTCTTTTTTTTTTTTTTTTGAGACGGAGTCTCGCTCTGTCGCCCAGGCTGGAGTGCAGTGGCCGGATCTCAGCTCACTGCAAGC